ATACTTCCAATATTTTCTTATCCATATAATTCCATTCATAATTTGAAGACAGACCCCAAAAACACAGCAATGCCCTAAAATTCTGGTGACTTTTCAGTCACGCAGATGTGAAATTAAATTTCTGCCTAGAATGACACCACAGATTGGATTAATACAGAAATTTGCATTAGCATAAAAACCATAAAGGCACCAAAACGCCCTTAAAATGGCAATATGGCGATTACAAATAAAGTTAAGTGAGACACAAAGTTTGTTGTCAAGTCCTAACAAGTTTATCACAAGTCATCTGGTCCAAAGTCAACTTACAAGTTATTTAAATGAAAATTGACGAAGACGTTACTACTACTTTTCATATTCTGTTTTCAATTATTCTTTGGGGGGGGGGGCAATTCAGGAAGGTTTATAGCAAAAATACATAGTGACGAAGGATTGAATAGATTAGTTCGGACACATTGCTGGATTGTATTGTAAAGAAGGTGTGTTGAATTGTATGGTAAAGAAGATGTGTGACTGCATGTTTCTTTTTCTCTGTGGCAGGCAAAAAAGACGAATTCCTGTTGTGTTATCCAGTAGAAAGAAAGGAGACGATTTTAATTGGCATTTACCTCGACCAGTGTGGAATACATGTCAGTGTTAGTCGGACTCACAAGCATTCCACATTAATGTACACAAGCCCCTCCATGTTGGAAGATGTATCATGATGGTGTATCGAGTGAACCAATGAGACTTTCGACTGTGGCAGCCATCTTGGTCTGGTTTCAAGACCCAGTGGTTATGGATTGTTTATGAAGCGGGTGACTGCATCAGAGGTGCCAGTCTAACATGCCTTGCTTTTGTGCACCCTTTCACATGCATGTTAAACAACCAAAAGTGGTTGCTGTATAAAAAATTGATCTTTTTGTTCAGTGTGAGGAGAAAAGTTGAAAAAATTAAACAGTCATCACCCTTTTAAATTTATGTTTGGCAAAAGATGTCGTCTTGAAGAATGGATATTTTAATATATGTACATGTATATAATATTTTGTTGGTGAAGGCAAGGAATTTAAGGGGAAAAAATGGGGGGAAACACATAATATGAAAAGACCTTCATGCAACAAACTTGTACTTTGTGCGCCGTCTAAATTTTTGTTAATCCGAACTCATAGATGTGCTTCATATGAATAAAACCTGTAGGAAGTACCAAAATCATGTAAACAGTCCCTGATTTCAACTGACCTTTTGGAAAGGCCGAACCATTGCTAAAAGAAAGTGTGGGTTTGTTTGCCTGTGGTATAAAAGTATGACAAAAAAATTAAAGTTGTCCGAAATATTATTTTAACATAATTTTTAAAATTAAAAATATTAAATTACAAATATAAATTCCCATGTATGAATAAGAAAGATACCTTAATTTGAGAAAACTTAAAGAAATTGCTCAAAATCTAAAGAAGGGTGCTTTACAACTAGCCTGATGAAGTTTCAGCTCAGTGAATGCTGCATATTCCAAGAAAACAATATTCTAGGTTTTCGATTTCAGTTCAAAATTTGCGGAGTCGTCTTTTGATTTGCGCCCAAATGAGCGTCCGGGACAGGTTCCTATTCAGTCGATGGCAGCTGCGTGATGTCACGCACTGAACACCGTTACCATTGGACCACAGCACCCCCACTACAGGTCATCTAGAGGTCATTTGAGGTCATCGTTTACAATTTTTTGACAAGGGCGACACATGCAGACTGCGGACCACTTGTGTGCCAAGAGTTCCTGTAAGCTTTTGGTTTGGAAACTTATGAAAGATCTGCAAGGATGACTTTCATTTGCAGGGTGGAATCACTAGTAATACACATCACCATTGTCAAGATTGTTGGCAGAGCTGCAGTGCCAGTATCCAATAAGAAAAATGTCTACTGCATGCATGAAGTGTCAATGGCTGTGCTTGTAGTACAAGGTATGCATCCATTTCAGTATGCTCATGTTCGTGTAAATCAGTCACAAACCAAATAGCATTATTCATGATTTATGGCTTGCTACACATGGCAGTCAAATACTTCATTATCAGATAATGTTCTTTTGTCTTAACTTTAATGTATTGTTGAAACCATTTTGAGCTGTGAATTGTAATGTCCAATTTGCATTAATACTATTTGTACTCCTAACTACCCAGTTGTGCACTTAGGATTTGGCTTGGGGGAGGGCTCAAATTTTTTTTTCAATTTTTTTGGAAGTAGATTTTTTTTTTTTGAACAAATATTGCCCAAAATGTTTGGCCGCAGATTAATAGGCGCAGAACAAAATTGGGTGTTTTTTTCGGGGGCCAGACTATTGTGAAGTTTGTGGTGCCACTAACACCCCTATTATACTACTCAAAAATAGGCCACAAACATATCACCAAGGTCAAATCGTGGGACCAAAAAAAAAATTGACAACCTCTTTGGGGGGGGGGGGGCTCAAGCCCTCCCTTGGGTGCGCCACTCCAACAACCCAAATTACTGTACTTGTGGTCAAATTATTATGTTGTTGCCTGCAACTTACATGTCCCGTAGTGGAGATTGTTGCAGTATCCAGCAGAAGCAAAAGTCGGAAATAAAAAACATTAATTGTTGGGAAATTGTTGTTTGTTGAAGTTGTGCTGGAATAGAATAAACGGGGCTGTGGGTGCTTTGTCCAAAATGGTTGATTGGCATCACACCTATGTTAAAGGTAGTATCCATCATTTGTACTTTGTGCATTATGTTCGTTTGAAGCAACAAAAGCGCTCAAATCTAAGGAAGGGTGCTGAACAACTAACCTGATGAAGTTTCAGCTCAGTGAATGCTGTATATTCCGAGAAAACACAGTCACTATTCTATGATCTCGATAGCAAATCCAAAGTTGCTGAGTCATGTTTTGAATTGGGCCTGAATTCAGCGTCCGAGACACATTCTCACTCAGCAGATTGCAGTTACATGATGTCGCGCACTGAACCGACAAATTATAGTAACTGCACGCACGTGTGTTGTGTCAACACTTGTGAGCGCTTCGCCGAATAAAAAACTAATTACTAACAGAAATTTCCAATGATGCCTCTCTATAGACGCATGGTTGGAAAGGCCTTTTTTCATCGATTACTTCAAAATAACAGCTTGCCATGAAGAATAATTTCACGGGGAGTTTAGTCCCATTACTATCTTAAAACCTAGTATGCTTTTCAACAATAATTACGTCAGTTACTATTTAGATAGCTGCAAATGATGGACTGAGCTTTAACTAAAAACATATTTTCAGACTTGACTCTTGTGAATTATACACTCAAGGATAAAAGAAACGCACCACATAACAATTCTCATATTTTTAGGAAGTAGGACCGGCATTGTAAAAATGGTGCATGTTCTAGATTTTGAGCATTTTAGAGATAAACGTCAATGTGTATTTATTGCGTTCCGGTTGAGTGATTTGGGTGAGTGCCAAAAACTGTGTTTTTGTATTTTATACTAATGGTTACACATGAGTGACTCCCAGATATGTGTTTGACCATTCATTTCCTGAACGCAACCCTTGCCTATAAAAAGACACCAAAATGACGCCAAAAACACTTGTATCTAGAGAGAGACCGAGCCATTGGCATGCTCCAAGCCGGAAGGAACTGACGGGCAGTGGCCAGGCTGTTCGGGGTCCACCACTCAACGATTGTGCGTCTTGAACAGCGCTACAACACTACCGGCACCTCCGCAGATCGTCCCCAAGCTGGCAGGCCGCGGGTCACGACCGCTGCGCAAGACCGTGCCAACCGGCTGTCCCACCTCGGCCAATCAACGCACTGACTTGGTTTTCATCGAAGGAAACCTCAATGCTGCCCGCTACCGTGACGAGATCCTGGACCCAATTGTACTGCCCTTACTGGAGCGAGTTGGGGGTCGTGCTGTGTTCCAGCAGGACAACGCCCGTCCCCATGTGGCTCGCGTGTGCGCCGACTTCCTGGAGGAGAACGATGTCGAGGTGTTGCCATGGCCAGCTCTCAATCCGGATTTGAACCCCATCGAGAATGTGTGGGACTTGCTCAGTTGTCACATCCGACAACGAGATCATCCCCTAGAGACACAACAGCAGCTGAGGGCGGCACTGGAGAAAGAGTGGGCTGCTATCCCACAGGACCAGCTGCGACATTACTGTCGATCCATGAGGCGACGAATTACAGCTGTTCTTGACGCGAATGTTAATTATTGAACTGTAAATGCCATTCGGGCTAAAACTAAAAAAAAATCAGTGGTGCGTTTCTTTTTTCCTTGAGTGTAGATATCTATATGTGATCTGTTGTCACAAAATGAGCTTAAAGTCAGACTTTTTAAGAACTGAGATATCTATTTATTTGGATTCTGCAGAACAAGAGCTTTCCAATGGTATATAATATTTAGGGGTGCTGACTTCAGTAACGGAAATATAAACCACCAATTACTTGAAGTTGTAAAACTGATTCTCGACAAAATGGCATTTAAAAAAATCCAACAGTTGTGTTACAGTGAATGAACAGTCAACTAATAAAACGGGATGAAAATAGGTTTTAAAGATGTTTGACAAAACAATAAAAATTGAGAAAGCTAAAAGAGAACTTACAGATTAAGATTCACCTGGAAACAAAAATTGATGACCCTTCAAATTTTGGCTTTGCCCCCCTGTACTGCAAAATGGCAATTTCCGACTTCAAGCTCATGTTGTGGTGACAGGTCACATGTATATTAGCCTTGGCCAAGGCATTCACCGTCCGCATGGTAACCGGCTGCCAAACTTTATCCTCGCTGCCCACATACTCATTAGCTGTACTGCGAGTGTGTGCAGTGCCAAAAAAAATTAGCTACTATTAATGGACAAGTCAACTGGATCCGGGTCCAGTTGATTTGCATATAGCGACCACAGGAGTTCGCTGTTCGCGCTGTATTTTTGCACTGCACACAAAAAAATAACGAGTTAGCAGGCTGCGAGGATATTTGGCCGCCGGTTACCATGCAGACGATAGTGACGAACGCCTTGAGCAAGGCTATGTATGTCTAAATGTATGGATAAAAATAAGTTAAGTGGAATTTTTTTGAGCGAGGGGGATGATTAACAACATGCATTCGAAATCAATACTGTTTAAACGAAGGTGACGAAATGCTTTATTTTACAACAGCCCCTAGAAAGCGGCATGTTTTTATTTGTAAGGAACATCAAATCATTACTAGTTACTGAATATTTACAGTTTTACAATTCATTCATCACAAAAAAAGCAGGAAAAAAGCCCTGAGGGACAACTTAGGCTTGAAGTTATTTAAATGTCAGTATGCCTGCAAGTATAAGGATGTTTTTTATTAAAGCCGGTAATTATTACAATTCTAGTGTAACTAACAAAAACTGACTGTCAATAGCTAGCTTAGATTATTTTTTTCCTTCTTGGGTTTCTTTTCCTACTTGGGCTTTTGTTCCTACTTGGACTTCTTTTCCTACTTTGGTTTGGTCTCTTGGTCTGTAACTCTTCGGATATAGATAGCATCTTCCGGATGATCCTGTTCTCCTTCTTCAAACATGTACGACGACGCGATGGCCAGAACTGACCCATCCTTGCTGGAAAGGGAGAGAATTTAGAAAGAAAGTCAGTGGAGATATGCCATAATTGCCATATGCCCCACCTACATGTACGTTGGACATTGGTCCACGACACATGCATCTCACTTCCTCAATTCCACACAGTATTTTGTTGTGTGTATAAAGTGCACGTATATCAGGCTTTTGTGAAGCATTTGGCTGCATAGTCACAGCAGTGATTGGTCAAAACAATTTGGTCTGTTGCACTCCGGATTAAAGAAACAATCTGTTGTTGTAAAGTTACATGTATGAATAATTGTGATACACATTTTCCAATCCACCAGATTTTCTTTTGCTTCTTTTATTTTTAGCAAAAACAGTCAAAGCAGCATTTTTTAACCATAAATATTTTACAGTCTATTGTACTTTTATTTTGGACTCACCTGAAAGCCAGTGAGGATATAGTCGTTGGGTAGCGGTGAAACTGGCACAAGCGTTTCTTGTTGAACCCATCCCAGATGTTTACGAAACCGTCCGAGCCCCCCGTGGCGAATGTGTTGTGGAGATTATGGAATGCGATTGCATTGACGGGGTAGATGTTCTCAATCCCATCCACCTAGGGGTGAAGATTTTCCAAATACTTACATCAATATAAATCAACAGAACAATTTGTAAAAAAGTGAATGTAGCAAAATATATCAAATCAGACTGAGCAATAGAAGCCAAATTTTTTTAAAAACCTTACCTTTAGCCTGTGACACTTGAAGGCGTACTTCTTCTTCTGCACCTCGGGGCTAGGGTCCAGATATTCCACGGCAACTCGGCCCTCAATGCTGCTCAGTACGTAGCCCTGCTTGCTGGGGAATGAACGGATACAGCGAGTCTGGTACTTGAGGCTGGAGTCGCGCCGCTGCTGGACGTAGCCCATGTTGCGCAGGTCCCAAACCAAGACCTTGCGGCCGGCCGTGCCTACAATAAGTCGGTCGCCTGACACTGCCATGGTGTAAACCTGCATTGTTAAGAGAGAGACATTGGGTTAAGGGTGGACACTCAAGTTTAACTTGTTAAACATGTTAAAAAGTTCACACGCGGTTTAAACGGCATACAAAAGCAGCCGCTTGTCCGACTGTCGCATGTAGGCAAAGCACTGATCTTGGCTTGGCAGCGTATTGAAAACCTCACACATAATTCATTTTAGATAATGTTTATGGTTAACAAAAATAACATACCAATGGATGATCACTGAAAAAAATGTATGAATTAAACCTTAATGTGATCAACTTAATACCTTTCTTTGCAAATTAAATAGGTTTGATACTTTGTAAGAGTAAAACTGGAAGGCAGATTGCGTAAAATAAAGGACCCATTTTTAATTCTCTTTAAAACATTTCAGTAAGTTCTTACATTGCATTTTTACTAGATACAAAATTAAACACAAAAACTGTTCATAGCGAAAACTACTGGATTGTAAGGCTCGCAGCTCAAATTTTTACTATACAGGGCAAGTCAAAAAAAAAGAAACCCAAATGGCAGGACCAATTTTTTTTATGAAGTTCTGCATGTATCACTATCAAAATCTAGGATATGAAAGCCCAATTAATAAGCTTTCACTTAGTACAAGAATCATTCAAATCACTGCTATGTACTTTTTAAGTTACAGAATTTCAAACACAACCACTGTGTTAAAGTTCTGTCCACATAGGGATGTGTGTGAATTATTCTTGTTTTGCTGAAAGAACGCTCACCTGTTTTTGTGATCCTTGGGACAGAACTTAAAAACGATGGTTGTGTTTAACATTCTGTAACTTGAAAAGTACACGAGTACCAATAGAAAGCATATTAATTGGCTTTCAACTAGTTTTTGAAAGTGCTACATGCAGAACTTTATTGAGAAAATGGTCCTGCCATTTGGGTTTCCTTTTTTTTACTCACCCTATACTTCAAGTATTTTTTACAGGATTGGGCCACAAAAAAAAGGAATACATCATAATACATGTGTTTGCCGAGTGGAAAATAAATAAATAAATGAGCTAAATGTTTTGAGGTTATACAACTCACCTTATCAGGCTGTGAGAAGGACCCAGCATTGCACGGTGTGCGTGGATCCCACAACTTGACCGTCTGGTCCCAGCTGCCCGTCACAATGACGTTGACATCTGGACAGTACTCGACACACTTCACCGGTGCCTCGTGGGTACCAACCACACTCTCTGTACAGGAACAAAAAAAAACCACCAATTTAGTGTCATTTTAACCCTCTTTGCATTATGCCATGTAGTCTATGAACTCTGTGCACAAGTACCCTCTCAACAGTTTCATAGCGAGGGTGTGGGGAGACCAAAGCATTGCCGATGACGCCTGATGCTCAAGCATTGATGTCAAGGTTTGTGCTCATTCAGAATAAAATAAGTAATGCGTACTTTGCACAATATGCCTGAACCAGTGGCGGCATGTGGTATGTCCCTCGACGAGGGTTTTCGAAAATGAAATCTGCTGCTGAATGGCTTATTTGCGTAGCAAACTCATTCAAATCTTGAAATAACGATATATTGGCCAAATATCTTACCCGTATTTGTGTTGATGTCAAATGTCTTTAATGTGTGGTCCAGACCTGCGCTGTATGTATGTGTTTGGTCCTGTATTTGCAGATTGAAATATAACATTCTTTAAGGCAACAGTTGTGAGAGTTATGACAATACCAAACTGTTGTCTCAAGTTTCTTTTTTATTGAAATGAAACTAATATTTAGCCTTATAAAATTAAGCTAAAATAAAATATATGCCAATTGTAGTAACTGTTTTATTCCAGTTTTCCATAGGTTTGTGCACAAATATAGATGTGTCCATCAAGCTTCATTCTGTAAAGCGTGTAAGCGGTAAGTTGTCTGAGGGGGCCTGTTTGTTTCATTCCAGATCCCGACTGAGATCATGTGATCCAGCGCCGTGCGAAAACAAACAGAACCACTCTCGCTCATCGAATCCTTTAACATTTAGGCACACAAGAATGTTCTCTGCTTCAGATTCTGTACCCAGAAGGGTTTTTTTTAGGATAAGCTAACTATAATATCCAAAAAAGGTAAAGCATTCGTACTATTTTTAATCACTAAAATACATTCTACAGTAAAAGAAGTTTGAAGAGAAATTGTCACAAAAGCTCATTTGATGCTTCAACTGTAAATAAAATACCACTTTTTCTCTGCAATCCAGATCTGTGCGAAACAAACATGCCCAAAGCCTGGACTCTGGAGTCATTAGAAATGACTGCACAGTCTCTCTTTCAACGTATTGTTGTAATTGTCAAAACGTAATTCTAATCTTTAGAATAATTTGGTTTGGCAAAACTTTAGAACTCCAGTTTCAAACAGGTGCAATTTTGCTATATGAACCTAACCAGACCATCACACTGTTGTAGTTGAATCCATCACAACTCAGTCCACAAGCCCCGTCTCAACTCACAAGTAAGAGGGGATGAACAACAAATAAAGTAACGCCTTTGGCACAGCTCATTTGAATAGCTTGTGAGTTGACTTGGGTCTGGAAGACTTTTGATGGATTCTGATGACTTGTGATCCATCATAAGTATTTTAGACTATATCACCGCTATTAACCTAAAATGAGCCTTACATAGAAGCAACAGTCCAGCACTGCATGGGTATGATTGTACTTGGTGCGCATGACGTTAGCTTCAATGTCATACAAGCGGACAGTTTCATCCCAGGAGGACACCAGCAGGAACTGGGATGTATTGGGACCAAACTTGACTGACGAGATGCCATCACTTGCACACTGGTTCAGCTTGTACTCGTTGGATACTTCAGGCATGATGGCGGTGGTGTATCAGTGGATCACTGGCAATGGAATACAGTCAATACAAATGAACAAGATGTTCCTTTTCTTCAAACAAAGTTGACTTTACAGCAAATGCAAAATTCTTTTGTTTTTAATGTTTCCTTTTGTCTTTTAAGTTTTAGTCCTTTTTATGGTTGGTTTGTTTGGGGTTTTGTGGAGGAATAAACTTTTTCATTTTGCCGACGCGCATGGCTATGGCGACGCGCACGCATACCAGAAACCAGATTTTTTGGGGGCCTTATATGCCACCATTTATAATAAACAGACCTACCCATCCTTCCTGGATGGAACTTATACTTGAAACTTTACATGTCACATGTCTAAAAAAAAAGTTGCAGAAACAGCCCAGTGTTTGTCCACAATGTAAGTCTAGTTTTTTAATACTTTCATTCACTTATATGTTTTTAATCAAATCCAACTGTTTATTGAAGTAGATTTCAATTTCTTCTTCGTAATCCGTGGCTAGCTTTGGAGGAATTGGAGGGAAAATATCTGACTGGCCCATAGAATAAATTGCTGACTTTAAGGACTCATATCTTGAGATTGAATTGATCTAGAAGCTGAATCTTGGTACATGTACATGGGTATATAGGAAAATATTACTGTAACAAAATTTGATTTTATTATGGTTCCAATTGCACCTTTAAACTATACAGATTTGGCCACAGTAATCCATAGTGGTCATGCATTGCACCTGTTCTGAAGTCAGATTAATGCCACAAAAATATTTCAGAGTTTACCATTACTTTTTTTCAACTTAACCTACCGGTACTGTAAACCACAATAGCTAGTATTTGGGCTACAGTAAAAAAAAAAAAAAAAAACCCAGATGGAATGCTCATTGGTAGTCTTTATTGTTTACTCCACAGTGCTAGGGATATAAGTTCCTTGCCCCAGTTCCTCTGTACTTGGTGTTTATGCAAATATTTCCAAGCATGAAAGACACACTGTGTTAGCATTCCTAATCTTGAAATTCCTTATGCATATTTTGACCCAGCCCTATAAAACCCCTTTGAAAGCCCAGTATGGTGTGGACTTGTGACTGGGGCATGGTGGTGGATGGTGGTGTGCATTTTAGTTCCATATTTTTCTAAGTTCCGTACATGTATGGCTGAAGGAGGGAGCCTACTTTATGTGCAAGGCGCTATTGTACTTCACTTAGCACCACCACCACCACAACCATTACTTCATGCCAAAGGGTTCAGTGGTCTGCATAGTCTTGTGAGTATGTTCCAATTTTACCCCCTTGCACCCAGTAGTTTTTTACATTGCCTATACTAGTAGACTACGGTGTCCCATCGTAGTGGTACACTGTCTGAATTTTTAGCTCTGTCAGTAACTAGCCGTTTAAATTATATTTTTCATAATTATTTGCATGCTCTCCCCTGGTTAATTATTTTGTAAGCCAAGAACTAAGCGCTAATACAATTTTAATTATTTCAATTTTCTGATATTTCATGTTCAGTCATTTCAGGTGTCAAAATATGTTTATTTTTTATAACTAAGTTTTCAAAACCGAACAAAATTTTTTGTTTGTTCAATATCATTGGAATCCTTAATATATAAACAACCATTTGTTTTGAATCAGTTTTCAGAGTTTTATCTTTCATTTCAAAAAAGTTATGATTTTCTTTTCCGGTTGACCGCTAGGTCCTGGCCGCAATTTTTTTCTCCCAAACGACATCCTGATCAGCATACATGGTTGTTTAGCACCCTCTAGGATAGTTTTATGTTACGCACGCAGGTATATAATTATTTGTTTCCCCACATTTTGGCGAGCAGTGCGACAGCTCAGTAGATAGAACGTAGGATTTTGCACTGAGTTCGAATCTCGGTTTTGCACCCGAAATTTTGTCCTTTTCTAACCTGAGGCTTTGAAAGATTTTTTTTAAAAGGGAAATAAAGTCCGAATTTCGTAATGTTCAAATTCATTTTTTTTTCTCATTTCATAATTTCTTCTCTTGTTCAAGTCCAAAACGCCATAGCGTACACCCATATACGGATGTCGTTTGGGAGAAAAAAATTCACGTCCTGACCCACATGATCAGATGGCCTGCTGTGATGGCACGAGCAAAAAAATACAGTTCCAATCCCGCTTCAGGGTAAACCCGCTTCACACAACGCGGCAACACGGAACATGCGTACGCGTTATCGGCTGTTTCCGCATGCAAGACATACATTGTAACCCCATATTTTTTTTTTTAGAAAAGGAAAATTAATTGACAAGTAGGCGCTAGGCCCTATAGAAAAACGTCTTTTATAAGATCATAGATGAACAATGATTTTATTTTTACTTATAGATTTGAACTGGAACTGAGAAACATTTCAAATTTTGTTTGAAAATACTTTGTCAAATGTCATGTGTACAGTACATGGGAGGTGCCGAGTTGGTCAGGTGCCGAGTCGGCTAGCCTAGGTGCCGAGTCGGCTAGGTGCCGAGTTGGCTTTTATTAAGGTGCCGAGTTGGCAGTTGCCGACTCGGAGTTGGCAAGGTGCTGTTGTGCGCTTTCTTGCAAATCACGCAATCTTAAGAATGAGCACGCATTCTTAAGAATGAGCACGCAATCTGAAGAATAAGCGCTCATTCTATTCTAACTAGTGCCGCCGTCGGGAAAATACCACGCACACAGGGGCAACACAACAGTAACCCTGCCATTATTTCAAACTTCACCCTAACATGCCTAAATTTAGCAATGCTCATTGACCAATAAAAATCTCACATAAATACCACAGACTCAAATCCCTTAAATTGTTCCACAGCGGGAAGTTTTCCGAGGAAAAACTACGCTTACCGGTGTCTCGTTCACACGCCTTTTGATTTTGAAATGTGCAGCTTTGTGTGTAGTGTAGACTGGTTCCGACCAAAGACACTGGCTGGCCTTCTTCAAACAACGAGTCTGATATCAGACGGACGTGGACAGAACTTTGAGAAACGACTTTTGTGGGCGTGGTCTAAGAGGGGTTTTCCGGTGGGAGGCACGCATGAAAATTTCCTTTTTGGGGTGGGGGTTGGGGGTGGGGGTTGGGGGTGGGGGGTGGGGGTGGGCGATTGGGATTTCCCTATGATAAACATTCAATTTCATCCATACCAAATTTTATCATAGAGACACAAACACTTTGTTTTAATTTCTTTAAAAAATGTAATTTTAGAGATCAGCTGCAAAAAAGGTTTCGAAATAATTTTAAACAAGTTGTCATTTAGAAAAAATTAGATTTGTTTTTACATGTATGCATTTATATGAAAAAGCACGCTCTGATCAGCACCACACCAGGTACATTTATACGTGTACATATTTCAAGAAGTATGTTTACATCTCTTTTTACACTGAACTTCACTCCAGCATTACTTTAATCTGGCATATAGTGGCAGTAATAGCATGTTTCTCTTTCAACATGAAAACTTGTAGGGGTCAATTAGGTGGATTTGAAATTAAAATGTAATAACAAGAAATAGAGAGGTCTACACAATGCTTATCCGTGTGGAATTAAAGCGAAAACCTCATATATCAGAGAAGGCTGCAGTGCAAACAATCTATTCCATCTGTGACTTTTAATACATAAAAAATACTGCAAGTGAAACTTGCGCAATCCCCCTGGCATGTTGGCAATTTTTATACAGTCAGTTAGTACTAACACTTGTCAGTTTACCTAACCAAAATTGAAGGGGCTGTATCATAAGTCTGATGCCTCATAGGTCCGACGCCTCATAAGTCCGAAATTTGGGACTTATGAGGCGTCGGACTTATGCCTCATAGGTCCGACGCCTCATAAGTCCGAAATTTGGGACTTATGAGGCTTAAAGATTCCTTTTGTTTAAGCAATAGTGACTTTGACCCCTCGACCCTAAAACAATAGGCTTCTTATAAGACTAAAAAGAACAACCCACACAAACCAAATTTCAAGTTCCTAAGTAAAGTATTTCTCACTCAAGTTATCGTGGTAACCAAAAATAACACACACACAGAGGTTTGTTTATGGTGTAAGTCAAAGATTTTCTATTGTTCCTCTCTTCTTTTTCCTTTGTACATGTACTCCTTTTTGCAACAGCTGTCATTGGTTTTGTACACGTTTTCTAATCGAGGTTGTTCTCGATTGGGTTCCTGTCCTCAATTCATCGATGATGTTGCACGTGTGTGTCCTCGATTTACACCATAAAGATGCACAGACAGACGGAAGGAATATGCTATCGCGATATCACCCTCCGGCTTTACAGTCAGGGAATAAAAATAGCTTAGAAATTTGGTAAAGAAAGATTTCTAATCACTATAAACCAAAGAAAAAAATCTTTGCATCAGAAGAATAAAATTAAATGCGACTTCAATTAAACATTAAGTATGGCTTACATTTTGTTTACATTCTGGAAAGATACATAATGTTCTAAAGGTAAACTGTACATTTTAATACATATTCAAAAATGCATTGGCTGATTATCAAATCACAAATGCAAAAAGATTTTGTTGAAGTTTGTCTACAATTACAATTCTTCTTGACGAAATTTAACGGCCACAAAATAACATTAAAGGCATGGCTAGCACAAATATAACATCACCGGAGTCCTGAGTCCTCCCCACTTAGCACACATTTGCATGACTGCATTTGGACTTGTCGGTGTGCAAAGGCTATTAAAAATGATGCTATGGCAAGAGAAGCTTTAACAATTGACATTACACTACTTAAAATTCTAGCTGTAAAACCAGCCTAAAGCCATATACATGTAGCTGTAAATACAAGACTACATGATGATAGAAAAGAACTTTAAAATCTAGAAACATGTTTGCAATCCAGCAAGACTCAAAGACGGTATGGATATGGACCTACCTATTTTAGGAATCTCACCCACTTCAAATTTATTCTTTTTTTAAATAAATACATTTTTTCAAAGACAACTTTGATCTCAAATTGACTTTAATCATGGTGAAACTACATACCAATACCTAGTTCACCACGTAAAAGCCACTTGTGAGGCTTTTTTAGGGATCCAAATTTTGGTCCATCTTTGCCTTCTGATGCAAAAAATTCAAAATCATACACAGCATTCTCACACTTTCCATGTAGGACAGACCACATGTGAAGGAGTTAAAATTGTAGAGTCGGAATGGCGAGACCAATGGACCATTCCTGATTGGGCCATGCCCAGCCTACATGTACCTTTGGTTTGTGTAAATTTCTTACAGTTCCTAAATGCGCTTCCATAACTACAGCTTTGTCTATTGTCAGCTTGTTCCCACGTAGTGGTAAGGGGCGAAGACCTAGCCATTAGCTCTAAAACTAGAGATATGGATGCGGCCTGAGTTTCACCACATGGTCACATGACCCAAAGTCTTGATCTGATTGGTCAATGCGCACAAATTACGACAGGCAGGAAGGGTCCATTGACAATGGTATCCTGCAGATTTCAGGTCTCGATTTCATTGCATCGCATGTCCTGCAGTGTACATAGGGATGTGTTGGGTGCTATCTAGATTTGACAGTGTGCACTATCCAATCCATGCCCTCCTATAAGAAACAAAACAAATTTATTTCATTAATGAATGGTCTTGTGTCAAGTTTGAAGAAAGAAAAAGAGGAACAACATGTAATGAGCTCTCTTGAATTCAATTCTGGGTTTTGCCCTTCACTGCAGTAACTTCATAAGGTCTTAATTAGTGGTGTCTGAAGTGCTTGTGCCTTCCACCTCAGTGACGCTGGTTTTGAATCCTACCTAGGACATCATGTGGCTCAGGTTTCAGTCCCTGCCTGATTCATCAGGTTTGTACGGGGTTTTCCTCCTACAACTAAACTGTCATTTCTTCCTCATCTTTTACCAAGGGACCCCACTGGAAGTAAGTCGTAAGACTTCCAAGGGCTATTCCGGCGAATTGCCGAAAAATAAATATTAAAAAAAACATATGAGTAAATAAAACTTAAGTATTTACCTCTACACCCTCCCCAGTCATTGCTGAGCAGGCGCAGATTTGCCACGCTCGGTCCCTGATGGTATGTAGATTCAAGCCCTCTGCGATATCAGCGGCTGTCGCAGCACTGATCAAGTCCTGCTTATTAGCAAAAACCAGCAGCGGAACGCCAGAGAGTTTCTCTTCTTCCAGTAGCTGGCTTAGCTCCTGTGGAAAAAAAAATTAAAAGATGCAAAGTCAGTTGCCTAGTTGGGCACTACACTCAACAATTTTGACAGGTCACAGAACCCTGTAGGGGAGTGCGCGGTCTAGTGGTTAGGGTTCATCCCCACTTGCCTCTCTCCACTTGGGAGTATAAATGGGGATTGGCATTAGCTGGGCAGTAACCTGCAATGGACTGGCATCTCGGTCATTTCATGACACAGAAACAAGAGACAAAACACCGGCCTGATTGGTCATTTTGGCCCATCACATACTTCACTACTTACTACAGCAACCCCTGAACATGGTGAAGATTATCAGGACTCATCATGAGAGGTAAACGCTTAAAACCTTGGTGAATACAACCATCTTGTGGTCACTCACAATCCCTTGGGGTGTACAGTGCATGCACTAGTGACCTCATTGCCAGTCAATATGAATGCTATACCTCTCCAGTTTCTTCCAAGCGCGTGCTATCTGCACTGTCTATCACATAGATGAGAACGTCTGTTTTCTCATAGTACTGTTTCCAGTATGGACGGATTGTTTTCTGTCCTGCAAAACAAAAGAAAAGTTTATGAATTCCATTGGACAGACCTGTGGTTGGGTATCAAGAAATAGGAATGGCAATCAGGTAAAAGTGCATTTTACAAAACTTGTCAGATGGCCGACATTTGGATGCAACTTGTTTAAGTTCCCAATTTACCAGACGTTCCTTTAAGACATATGACCCTCCAAGGTTATAAAATGTATTGCAGTAGAGTTTTTCAATATACAATAAATGGACTCAGTCCATGCAAGTACAGTAGATGTTGCGTCTCCTACATGAGTCTTTCTATAAATTTGGGGTCCACTCTTTTTCCTGATTTTGGGTCAACTCGTACCCGAGTTAACTCGTATCCGAGTCAACTCGTACTCGAGTCAACTCGTACCCGAGTCAACTCGTATCCAAGTTAACTCGTACCCGAGTTAACTCGTACCCAGGTTAACTCGTACCCGAGTTGACTCGTACCCGGGTCAACTCGCACCTAGGTCAACTCGTACTCCCCTCCTTTTTTAGTTTGGAAGTACGGATGGATGGTTAACAAAACTTCCGATTTTACCCTCAAAAACGGCGACTGAGAAATAGTAGTTACGCCGCCAGAAATACAAATAAAGTTCAAGGATTAGTTGAAGGCGGTGGTATCAAATGTTGCTCACAATCTGGATGAAAAGGGAAAATGTACCGTTCATCAGCAAGGGCTTCATCGCGAACGGACGGGTACTGCGTGGAGAACATTTTCAAAACGGCATCAGTGTGGTACTCGCGAGTCGACGGAGCCCTCGCTGATAAACGGTAAATTTCACTTTTCATCCAGATCGTCAGATGTGTTATTTTAAAATTTGTGTAGTATTTTCTCTTAGTAATGATGTTTTTCCTTTCTTTTTTCAGAGACCCTGGATCACTGAGATTGCGGAGTGACTGTGCGAACTGCTACATCTTTTTTTTGTTCTAAGGTGTTTTAAGGGCATAGTTTTCTTTTTACGAATTTAGTATTTTAGACCTTTTTTCTTTTAAAGAAAGCTGCTATTAAAAAATGAATTTTGTAATGTAAAAGTAATATTTTTCAACGTTCACTCACTCCATTTTTGGCATCATTTATTGAATAATAACTGCACATGGCACAAATCTCTTTGGGAAGATTGGGGGCCCTGAAAGTACAAATCTGAAGAGAAAATATATTACAGGAAACTTAAAAGAGTCACACGGACATCGTTATTTAATTTATAATGATTCTTTAATATGTTGGTCATTTTTTGTACAATTA